TTCATCTTGTCAGGTTCAATTCTGTTCAGCGTACGAGAAGCAACTGCCGTTGTCCTTCGCTGAAACTGAGTCTTCCTTCAAACAAGCAGCCATGAGTTGCCCGTCGGCAAGAGACAAGCAGTCAAAAGGCTCTCATCTGAAGAACAACATCAACACCAAACTGCGTTCAACTCCAAACATCTCGATGGGCACAAAACAGGTCGGAGATACTTGCTCCTCCCACGCTGACTGCGCTGCCTCCTCCTTCTGCGCTGCATGGACTGTAGTGGCATCATCATCCTCCTCCTCCTCGACCTTCGTCTGCAAGCCCTGCGCTCTCTGTACCGTGGACACCAGGGACTCCTACGACGGCGTCTGTCCTCAGGACAAGTGCCCTGGCTCCGGCGGCTTTCCGCCCTGCGTTAACGCCTCTGCTCTTCTCGCCAGCTTCTCCTCCTCCTGCGAGAACCACAACCACTTTGACATCTGGTCCTACGGCTCCTCCTCCTCCGGCCCCCCGGTTGTCATCCCTCCCTTCACGCCCAAGGTGCTGGAGGTGACGCCGTTCAACCGCATGGTCGGAGCTCTCGTGGTCTCGCAGAAGCGCATGCAGAGTCTGCCCACGTGCGTCGATCACATCCAGGACCCAGGGCTGCACAACTACACGCTCCTCGCTCAGAGCAGCATCAACTGCCCCTCGACCTCCGCGCAGGAGAGCACTCCCTTCGGCTTCGACCCGACCTTCATGCCCTCCAGCAGCCTCTACAACGGCGAGCTGCGAGCCGATCGCTTCTACGGCGACAGCGAGCGACACTCGTTCGTGGACGACAGCGGGCAGGAGGTGATCTCCTACCCGTACGGCTTCTTCCCCCACCGCTACGACTCCAACCACCTCGACCTCAACATGGACGGCGAGCTGACGCCCGACGAGCTCGCTCGTGACGTCAACGGCTCTGACTTCAGCAAGAGCCCAGCTGTGGTGGTGAGCTTGGAAGCGGACAACTTCAAGGTGTACTTCGACGAGCGGCTGTCAAGGAAGCAGGCGCTCGACATGCTGACGAGCCTGCAGGACGGGAAGTTCATCGACTTCCAGACCAAGCAAGTCTCCGTGGAGCTCATGACCTACAACGCGGTCAGAAACATCCTCTCCTACTGCCAGGTGACCTTCACCTGGGACGTCGGGGGAAAGATCCCGTGGGAGTACAAGATCACGACGGTGGGGGTGGACAAGATCAAGCACCCGAGCACGTGGCAGCTGCTGCTCATGCTCGCCATCCTGCTGGCCCTGGTGATCAACGTGGGGATGGAGGTGACGGACATCCTGCACCACCTGAGAAAGTTCTCCGCCTCCTCCTACTTCACCGACCCCTTCAACCTCATCGACTGGCTTCACTTCGCGTTCCTCGTCGGCTCGGTAGTCAGCTGGCTCCTGCTGCACAGCAAGGCGCGAGCCTTCAGCCTCAAGGTCGGTTACCCGATCCTCTTCTACGGGCCCGAGTACGGCAGCTCGCGACGAGTCTCCTCCGCCTCCAGCCAAGGCAGCGCCGCTAATTTCGAGAGTCCCATCGCAGTCACCAGCTTTGCCAAGGCCAGGAGGCTGCGGACCAACAACCAGGCCGAGTACGACTTCCTCCTCCTGCTGGACTCGGTCAAGGCCATGGCGTCGGCAGAGGACATGTACGCCTTCTTCGCGGGGATGAGCATCGTGCTGTTTGTGTTCCGAATGCTCAAGTCGCTGGACTTCCAAGAGCGGATGGGGATGGTGACGAGGACGATCGGGAGGGCGTCGAGCGATCTGTTTCACTTCCTGCTGCTGTTCATGATCGTGTTCGTGGGGTATGCCATCGTCGGCGTGTTCCTCTTCGGCCATCAGTACGAGGTTTGACTTCATATGAGAAATTGTTTGATGTTGCTGTTGCTCCTTCTCGTCTCAGTGGTGATTGTTGCTCTTATCTTCACCTGCTTTCTTTTTTTTGGGTCTTTTCCTTTACTTTTATCTCAGGGCATGTCCAATCTCTCAGGTTCCTTTAAGTCTCTTGCTATCACTATTCTTAACATGGACACTACTCAGTTCTACACTTCGGTGCCTCCCTCCTCCTCTCTCCTCCTCCTCTCTCCTTCTCCTCTCTTCTCCTTCTTCTCCCCCTCCTTCCTCTTTCTTCGTTGTCTTGCTCTTGTTCTTTGCCTCGTTCCTTTTTCTTCTTTTGTTTCCTCCTTTCTCCATCGTGCTCCTCCTTCTCCTCCTCTGGATCTGCTTCCGTCTCCTGTCCTCTTATTTTCCTCGCAGATGGATCACGCTGCTTCAGACATCTCCTTCCAGCTCTACTTGTGGTCTTACATCTTCGTTGTGCTCTTCATTCTCTTCAACATTTTCCTCGCTATCCTCGTCGAGGCCTACTCCAACGTCAAGCAATCGACCGACGCTCGCGCCGGCCTCGTCTCGGAGCTCAAGGACGTGCTCAGCCACGGCGCGCGCCGCTGGCTGCCGGGCAGTCGCAACTTCATGGCAGATCAGAAGATCCGACAATCGCTGCAGGATGAGCTCAAGGCGCGGGGCTCGAGCCAGCGCATGAAGGAGGTGGTTGACAAGGAGATGGCGCGGCGAAAGGCGATTCTCCTTCGGGGGGGCGTGCAGATCGATGAGGACGGGCTGCTCGACCTGCTCACCATGCAGTCCAGCTCCAGCGCCAGCGTCGCTCCTGCCCCCGAAGATGCGGGGGAAGGAGAAGGGCAGCGAAGAGTGATGTTGGACATCCTAGAGCGATACGGAAAGGACGTGTCTGAGCTCCGAGAGAGACGAAATAGGGAGCTGCGAGAGATCGTGGGGATGGAGAACATGAAGTGAGAATTACTTTCTCTTCTTCACTCCTTTTCTTCTCTTCTTCTACCTCTTCCACTTGTAAACTTCTACTTCTTCCTCTCGTCTCTCCTCATTTCTGATTAATTTTTCCTCAAATCGTTTTGTATCCCCTCCTCTCTTCCTTTCTGTTTCTATCTAACCATGCGTGTCTCACGTGCAGGAGGCTGCTCGCCATGAACCTCATGCAGATCAATGTGCTCGAGGATCAGCGGCGGACGCTCGACCTGGTTGAGAGCATCGCCTCCAGCATCATGGACTCAATCCCGGAGAGGAGGAAGAGCTTCTTTGCCGCCGCCTCCTCCTCACACCCCGAGAGCTCCAAGATCGGCAAACTCTCCGTCTGCGTTCACGGAGCTAGTGGCCTACCCAAGATGGATTTGATCCGCAGCTGCGACCCCTACTGCATCCTCTACCTCACAGGGCAGGAAGACGCCCAGTCCTACGTGACGAGGACGATTCCGAGGAGTGTCACCCCCAAGTGGGAGGAAGAGTTCGAGTGGGACGTGGCAGCGGAAGCCTCCTCAGTCGTCATCACAGTGTGGGACAAGGACAATGTGAGTTAATCTTCTTCTTCACTTCCAATCTACCCGATGCCACCCTCCTTCCTGATCCCAGCTTGACCCCTGCCCCTGCCCCTGCCCCTGCCCCTGCCCCTGCCGTACCTAGCATATTGCACGTTGCTTATCATTTCTGCTCTGACGGCACGTAGATCACAAAAGACGACTTCATCGGGAGCGTGAGCGTGGAGCTCAGCAAGGCCCTATATCAGAGCAGCCACGAGAACATATTCCTCCCCATCCTCAACCCCAAGATTGAGGGCAGGCTGAAGCAGGCGAAGCTGGAGCTCTCCGTCCGCTTCCATCTGTACGGCAGCTGCTGATGGTAGTCAGAGTGATCAGGGGAAGGAAACGGAGCTGCTGATGGGGAGTCAGAGTGAGCAGGGGAAGGAAACGGAGGATGGGAAATGGTTCGCATCATTTTCCTTGTGCATTATGAAATACTTTATACAAGAACGAGGGAGAGGGTCAAGCGCAGAGAGGGGGAGACGAGGAGATAACGGGCGAAGGTGTCAGTCCTCGAAGTCGTAGCTGCTGACCAGCCGACTGTCCTGCTTCTTCTTTCCTCCTCGCCCAGGAAAGGCTTGGATGCCTCCTTCGTCATGCCCGACAGGGTTTCGTAGCGGCGAGATGTACCGCTGCTGCTGCTTTCCTGCTCCTCCAGGAAGTCGAAGAGGACTGTTATCGCGATCATTTGCATCTGAGCATGCCGGGTTAGCGCACCACATAGCACGAGAAACTTGACTTGCCTGTCCAGTCCGTCCAGTCCGTCGGCCTTTCCTCGAGGGATCTCCAATCATTGTCTCCGTCGTCAGAGTAACTTTTCCTCGGCAGCATCGACACTGAGCTTTCGCTTCGTGTCTCGTCGTCGTCCTCCTCCTCCAGCTGAGCAAGAGCACAGTTCTCAGCTGTCTCCAAGAGCGAGTCCAAGACTTTGGTCCAGGAAGCGGAGGTGGCTTTCTCAATGATGTTCCACTTCTCATCCTCCTCCATCTCGATGGTCAGCTTCTTCTTGCTCTTCTGAGCTAGAGCAGCTGCGAGCAGCCCCTGCTTCTCAGATGCATTGTACACCTGCTCCTCCAGCTGCTCTTTGGCTTGTGTTAGAGAGTTTTTTAGCATCTAAAATTCTACCAGTCAGACAAGCTACCATGAAAGACAATCCCATACCAGCGAATCCTTTTCTTCAGCTGCCTGTATCACTATTGCCTTGAACTTTGTTTCAATCTTTCTGCTTTCTTTCACAGCGATTTGTTTGATGGAGTCAATTGGGCTATTCTTATCCTTTCCTCCGCTCGATTCCACCGCAAGCTTTCCAAGAGCCTGGTTGATCTGCCCTATAGACGTAGCTATGGTCTTCTTGCCGCTCATAAGTTCATCGTCCTCTGTAGTCGCTCTACGTGCCGGAAGTGAAGTGAAGGACCGAGATGGCTGCTCGAACATGCGGTTGCTCATGCCTGCTCACTGACATCAGGCTGAACAAGTATCTGTTGAAGCAGAGGAACACAGCCAAGAAGCGGAGAACATTTTCAGCTAGTATATCAGTGCGAGGGAAAGAAGAATCGCAACTGAAGGAGGAGCGGAGAATAGACGACGCGGGAACATTTCAAGGAGATTACCTGATGTGATAGAGGTCGAGAAATATCAAAGGCTTGAAGTGCAAAGGACTTACTGTCGTTGACCGCTTGACTGTCCAGACTGATAGCACGGGCCTGCAAGCGAGAAGATTGTTTGAAAGAGAAAGTGTGAAGAAACGACGAGACGTAGAGAGAGGAAACCAGGGAGGTGAACGAATGTAACACTGCAATATATATCTGTCGTAGTAACCTTGAGCTGTCGTAGTAACCTCGATTGGTTGTAGTAGTAACAGCACGTACTGCTGTGTTGACCCCAAAAAAACCAATTCAATGAGCCCTGTAGGGTAGGGGTTGTTGTCCAGGGTGTTCGAGATTGCATTGGTGGGAGGGGTTCAAAAATTGCCCTACAAGGGTAGGGTACAAACAGGCTACAAAGGGGGTGTCGCTCAGAAGCAGGGTCCTCCACTTTGGATATTACTCCAAGTAGGGGTACTCACGAATAAGATTTTTAGTGCGTTTTATAATATGGTCACAAGAAGGCAATTTATTAGCAAATAGCATGATCTGATAATGAGGGGGTAGGGTACTCAGCTTGAGAGGAATGCGGTAGTGCAGTTCTACTAGTAGGCCAGACTCCGAGCCGCTAGAAAGGGTAGGGTACCGGAGAATGCCAAAAGAAGTTACGGAGGGGGGGGGGTGAGAGAGTCTCGAAAGATTTTCACTTCAGATTGTCCAGAGGATCTGAAACGTCATGGTCCAAGCAGGGGTCCTTTGAAGTACTGTGAAGGGGGTACTCGGATTGTAATGCGGTGTAGTAGTAAACTTGGAAGATTCAAAGAGGGGGTACTTTACAGATCAAAACGCCATGACGGGTGGTGGTGGTCACGATGGCAGATGACCTGTAAGGGTGAGGGTGGTACCGTGCAGTCAACTTCCGCCTTCATTCCGACTTGAGTCAGTCCCGTCCGGTCCGATCGCCGGATGGCGGCCCGGCGTTGGTGACCCGGTGACCAGGCGCGCGGCCCGGCCAGTGGAGGCTTGCCGTACAGTGCCCGGCCCGCGGCGCGGGGCGCGGCCTGAGGAGGCCGCTCTACGTGACCGTACGGTGCCAGACTGAGAGTTGAGTCGAGTGTACAGTCCGTTCGACCGTGGCCAGTGCCGGCGGTACTACGTGACGGGACGGAGGCTTTTACTCAAAGTTAAGTTAAAAATCAGTACGAGGACAATCAGGAGAGTCGAAGAGTCTGACTCTGTCGCACAGGCCAAACGGCGGGAAGAGAAAAGACAGCGAGAACCAAACCTAATCCTGCCGACTGCTGTCCCCCACTGAAACTACGTACTTCGCGTACTTGTGTGGAGTGAAAGTTCACAGAATGCGTACTTCAGTGGGAAGTCAATGCACAGCAAAACGTAGAGGTAGGGTAGTCACCCTCTTGGGGTAAACGGTTAAAAGGGTCACCACCCCTGCTTATGCCAAACTAGATAGAAGAGTGGAATTGAGTTGGTAGGGGTGTTTTGTACTACCCCCGGTCAAGAAGACTCATTCTGGAGTGAGGGGTGCCTTGAGGATCTGGGTGGAATTATGTCAGGGATGGCAGGGAAGGGAGAGAGGTGTGAAGGATGGAGGGCTCCTAGTGAGTTCGTCCAAGAATGGGGCCGAGGCAGAGACGAAGTGACATGGAGCTGAAGTGAAAGACAAACGGGCAGGCAGAAACCCTTAGCAAACGAAGAACTTGAATAGGACATTGGAGATTAAGTGCAAGAACTTTACGAGACGAGTGTTTTATGGATGAACAGGGAGGGTTCGACGAAACGATGATGGTGCTGATGAGATTCTAACAATAATCATATACATAATGATTCGAATCAAACATCAAATCATTGAAACTTTGAACATGTTCTGGATCAATGCCTGACATCTTTCCTTACACTCTTAGATCCTAATGCAGTCTCGCGAGTACTTCCTGCGCGTCTGCTTTACGCTCTGCCTGATTCACAAGTGTTGGGCCTTTGCCTTCCATCCTCTGCAACTGCCTACCTCTGTTCGAGGCGTCAGGGCTTCAGCATGCAATAGTGCCATCAGGCACGCTTCCACAACGAATGGAATCTCTCATTCTCTCCGTGCCAATGAGGGCTCGTTCACGTCGAGCATTGTGAAGAGGAAGCAGGCTTCGCTCGTTCAGACGCAAGCGTCTTCCAGTGCTGCTAGCGATGGCTCTTCAAGAAGCATGCTGCCAGCAGGATGGCAGCCAGGAGACACTCCGATGGGAGGATGCGTGAGCAACTTAATCAAGAACATTGTAGCCATCCTCTTCTTCTGCTCTCTCTGATCGTTGCTGCACAGGTTGGCTCAGGTGTTCTCTGTTTGGCTGGAGGCGTCGCTGCCTTCTCGGATCAGCGGCAGACTTTGGTGCTGGCGTTGGGGATCGCCTTCACTTTTGCCGCTATCGCGGGATACTGCTTTGCGATGATCGGGAAAGTATGCGAGATGACTGGAGCGAAGAGCTACACGTGAGTTGTTCATTCCCCTTCTCTTCCCTTGTCCCAGCCCGTCCCTGATCCTTCGTCCCTAGCGAGGGCTGGGCCAAAACCGTTGGCGAGTCAACTGCCTGGATTCCAAACCTCATCGTGGTGTTCAAGACTTGGTCAGCGTGCCTGATTTATTCCATGATCATCGGCGATCTGTTCTCTGACCTTGCGATCACCGCTGGTGTGTCACAAGTCGCAGGAGTTGCTGTCAATCGTAACTCCATCCTCCTCGTTGCTCACCTGTTTGGTCTTCTCCCGTTGTGCCTTCTCAGATCCTTCACTTTCCTCTCTTACGCCAGCTTCCTCGGCATCGGAGGTCTTTTGTTCACAGCATTCTTCATGATTCTGCGTCTTGTCGAGGGCTCTTATGCCCCTGGCGGTGTCTTCTTCAATCAGCTTGTTGCAACTGGCGGCAAGAATGTTGTTGTGTCATCCTTCGACGTGATGGGAACGAAGCTGATCAAGAGCTTGATTCTCATCTCCATGTTGACTAACAGCTATCTGTGCCACTACAATGCCCCCAAGTTTCTGCGGGAGCTTAAGGACGCGACGCGCAAGAGGTGCGACGGAAGCAATGCCCTGATGGCTTGTCAGTTGATACTTTCTAGGTTCGATACTTTGACGTACTCGTCGTTCTTTGGAGCATTCCTGATGAATGCGATCTACATGGTTGCTGGCTTCCTCACCTTTGGAGGAATGTCATATGGCCTCATTCTCAACAACTATGCAACCTCTGACTTGCTCGCAACTATCTCGCGGTGCACTTGCTGGTTGACTCTCTTCATGCAATGATGTTTTTACAGAGGTGCAATCGGTTCTTCGATTCTGCTCGGTTACGCCTTAACATTTGATGGGTTTCGCACGAGCATCTTGGAGTTCATGAAAGTGAAGGAGCCGACCCAGAAGCTCAAGGATGTCATAGCTTGCGTCTTCATAGCCTCTGTCTGTGCTGGATCCATGGTGCTCTCGTTTTCGCCTCCTCTTGATATTTGACGCATGAGTCAAGATTTTGCGCGATTTGGGTGTCGTTGTGAGCTTTCTTGGAGCACTGCTGGGATCGTTTGTTATCTACGTCTTTCCCAGGTGAGCCAAATCAAACCACGTGTCTGTTCTTGACGTTGAGACGCTTGACTGCAGCATGATGTTTCGCGGGGCCAAGAGGCAGCTTGCCAAGGCTGACTCGTCGAGCTCACTCGGTCTGCGCTGTTGCTTCTCTTGCAGACACGAGCATGGTTGACGCTTGCTAGGGTTGGACTATCATGTCGCTGGCGGGCTGATCGGGCTGGGAACTTTCCTCGGACTTCTGGGAGCCACTGTCGTTGTCTTGAAGGTGAACAGCCAATTGCTCATGCCGCATCTCAATCTTTTGCAGGCTTGCACAAAAGTTCTCGCTTGAGTTTCCAAGCCTCCAGGAGCTGTCTAGTGAGCTTTCAATCCTTCAGTAGCTGTCTTGTCCCTAGGATCCCAAAGAAAATACGTAAAATTCTTGTCCGCGAGTTTGCAGTTTTTAAGTTTCTGTCTGGTTGTATGAATACGGGAATCAACTTTGCTTGATGCTCTCTTCTTGTTCTTCAGGCCCTGACCCCCTTACAGCAAGCAAGGCGTCGCTCTGGTCCTCTGACACGCAAGAGGCTTCGGGATCAGAGTCCACAACCTACACCCGTCAATTGAGAAGCAACATGACCGTTAGGTTGTACAACATGACCGTTAGGTTGTACCTGTAGACCGTCGATAATCAATCCCAGGCTCTCATCGTCAATGTTTTCAATCACTCCATCCGCAGCATCCTTGTCATGCCGACTGTCATAGGCAATCTCATCACTATCATGCCGACTGCCATGGGCAATCTCGCTGCTCGTGCTCCTTTGTTCCCAACTGCTTTCCTCAGATCGCGCGTCCTCCTCGCTATTCCAACCTCTGCATATCAAGTCAAAATACACAAGTTGTGCCAGCAAGTCACCTTGCAGAGTCACTTTGCTCCTGCTCAACGAGCAAGCAATCAATTACGCCTTTCTCTCTACACCACAGTTTCTTGTGCTTCCTAAGAAGATGAATGCTTGCTTTGTCCTCATTGACATCTACTGACGGGCAATTGTCGTCCATGCCGTCACTGTCAGCATTGTACGCTGTATCACTCTCGGCGTTGTATGCTGCATCAAGTCTTGATCAAGTCTTGATCTCGTCCCATTACACAGGTCAAAGCACCTGTCACATGCAACGAGACATTACTGGACGCGTCAAACTCTCGCCAGGCTTCCTAAAAGTTTTTCAATGCAAGCAGCACGAAACGCACGAGATGTGCGCTGACCTCCTCGAGCACGAATGTTGAACGTGGACACCATCTTGCCTGCTCATGCACAACAAACTGTAGCTGCTCCTGTTACATCGAAGGCGTCACTAAAACATCCTCTCTCATACCCTACACAAATTCCTCTTCTGCCCTACATCGCACCTCTAACGCTTATCTCTTACTCTTCTACCTCTCTTATCCTACACCTCAACCTCTCTACCTTGCACCTCTACCTCGCCTCTCATACCTCGACACTAAATCCTTTACTCATGTACTCTGACCGCAAGTCGATATTCAATTTGGGTTGAAACAAGTCATACCTCCACTGGTTTGATCAGTTTTAACTTCTCCTCGGTTCTTACTTGTGCGAACTCTTCGAACCGACAGCATGGACATGCCAGGTAATCTTCTGTAGTCCAGTAAGGAAGAAAGGGAATGAAGTGAACTTTTACCTAGAGCTTGGACTAAGAAGCAAGGTTCCAGGAACAGTCTGCGAGAGGCAGCGCTACTCATATCTTGTGTACTTAAAGCATGCCTCAAGCTCTTTTTAATCGGAAAAATCATTAGTGTGATAAAGTTGTTTTCCCATTCTTTGTTGTGAATTCTTACTTGATGGTACTTCTACAGTACTTCATGATGTTTCTTCTACCTCCAGCTCCTTCACCTTCATTGAAAATCTTCACACCGAAATAGAAAGAATCAGCATGGTCCCCCCAAAGACTGGCCTGTTGCCCGCCGGCGCCCTCAAGTCCAAAGACTCATACCGCACACGTGCCCACAGCAGTAGTCACGGGGGTACTCGCCTCTCCTTAGGGTTTAGGGTTTAGGGTTTAGGGTTTAGGGTTTAGGGTTTAGGTCAGGTCTTGCTCGACCTCTCGACGATGCTCTTGGAGACATCAGAGGAGGAGCTGCTAGCTGGCAAGCCGATCTCTCTGGAGCTAGACAAGAGTGTTGGCAAGCTGCATGACACCTTCTGCTCGCCGGGCAACGTGGAGTTCATGACGCTCGGAGCTTGGGCAGCCACGCCGACGCTGGGATCGAAGCGAAACATGTTGAAAGAAAAGCTCAGAGCGTACCTCGGCGAGCAGCGCTGGACACGGGTGCAAGGGAACAAGGCAGCGAGGAGGGGTAGCGCCTTCTCTCCAAGGGCAGCAGCGACTAATGCGCTCGAGCAGGAGTGTCTAGGGTTTAGGGTTTAGGGTTTAGGGTTTTAGGGTTTAGGGTTTAGGGTTTAGGAGCGCCGGTTATTTTCGGCAGCATGGCTCCTTGCCAGGTGTAGGGGAAGCCGCCAGGGCGCCAAGGAAGCTGCAAGCGAGAGGTTTGTATACTTCAAATAGCTTTCTAAGTATGGTTCTTCAGTATGATGAAAATGTTCGCAACCTGCTGTATCGGAGATCATGCCAATACACGCAGAGCGGACTTGTGGATGCCTCTGTCCTCGAAGCTGATCTCGTCGAGAGGGTGAAGAGCTTCGCGAAGCGTCATCCGAACAGCAGGACAGCCCAGGCTTGCAAGGCTGTGGAGGGATGCACCCCCGACGCTATCGCAGAAGCCATCCGCTCGACATGTCAGCAGGCACGACGTGAGCTTCTACAAGAAGCAATGATTGGATGGAGTGACGCATCCAGAGAGTGGTTTATGCAGCAGATTGGGTTTAGGGTTTAGGGTTTAGGGTTTAGAGCGCCGGTTATTTCAGGCACGAGCGCCGGTTATTTCAGGCACCATGGCTGCACGCGTGGTGTAGGGGAAGCTGCCAGGGCGCCAAGGAAGCTGCAAGCGAGAGGTTTGTATACTTCAAATAGCTTTCTAAGTATGGTTCTTCAGTATGATGAAAATGTTCGCAACCTGCTGTATCGGAGATCATGCCAATACACGCAGAGCGGACTTGTGGATGCCTCTGTCCTCGAAGCTGATCTCGTCGAGAGGGTGAAGAGCTTCGCGAAGCGTCATCCGAACAGCAGGACAGCCCAGGCTTGCAAGGCTGTGGAGGGATGCACCCCCGACGCTATCGCAGAAGCCATCCGCTCGACATGTCAGCAGGCACGACGTGAGCTTTTGCAAGCAAGAAGGAGAAGGTCGAGACATACACCGCCTCAGCAGGCAACGAGGTGACTTCCTTCATCTCCATGACTCTCCTGGGCATCTCCTCGGTGTATGTCAACCATGAAGAAAAGCTGAAGAAGAAATTCGAAGAGATCGGACTGATCGTAGACTCAGTGCAAGAGAGTAAAGCAATCATGTGGAAGGCTCCGTATAGACCCGAGATAGCGAGTGCTGAGGAGATCCCGGTGACTGTTTCCTTCCTCCGCAATGCACAAGCGGAGAAGCTCTGGCAGGGAAGAGAGGACTTCGCGATTGATGGTCGCAAGTTCACAGCTGTACATGTGAGCATCGTGCACGATCGATCTTTCAAGATTCGAGCCAAGAGAGGACCCTGGGGCAAAGGGGGCAGCTTGGCAGAGCTGACTCACCTGCTAACCTTGGGCGGCATGACAACGGCTGAGATAGCTGCCGTCTATCGCTATCAGCTGCTGCGCCAGTCCCTTGCAGCGGTACAGCTCCAGCCGCTGGCAGGCATGCTGGTCGCTGGGGCGCCAGGACAGCAAGTCCACAAAGGCTTAGGTCAGAAAGGCTTCATCGCTGTAGGGGCCAACGTCATCTGGAGACAGAGGGAGGTGGAGTGGATCGTCTCCTCGAGCTGCCCAGAGGCGAATGATACAGCATTTCGAGCTTTCCGAGAGAGCGAAGCGATGGAGGGAGTACACCTGACTCTGTTCAGCGAGGACCCGAAGATCAGAGAGGCGCTCGCAGTCGAGTTGACAGCTGATCGCTTTGTGTCCAGAAATAAGTTGAAGAAGGCATCAAGGATGCAGAAGAAGGCAGGCGGCAAGGACGGCAAGGAGATCAAGATCATCATCAAGTCGACGGCGGCATCTGGTCGCTTCACGAGGAAGGAGATGGAGGGGCTGTGCAACGGCGGCAACACGTCCATCGCAAGAGTCAAGAGAGTCTTGTTGGAGATCGCTAACAGGCTCGAGATCAAAGTTGAAGGCATCGACATGGAGGAGGATTTGAACACCAAGTCCTGGAACGGGTCTAAGCTATGCATCCTCCTCGGCTCCACGGAGGATGCTCGACGCATGATGAAGGAGCTGCCCTTCTATCTCGAAGGCGCAGCCACCAAGCTCGAAGCAGTCGGCTTCGACAAGGAGCCTGACTCTGAGGCGGCTGGTCAGCGGGGCACCAGCGACGCAGCGCAGCGACAGGAGGAGAGCGAGGGAGAGTGGCTGGAGTTTACAGACCTGGAGAGGATCACAATGGAGGCAGCATCTCCGTCAAGCCAAGAGGACATGCAGCTCGTCAGCGAGCTGTCAGCAGTCATCGAAGATGCAGCTTCTTTGAACGAGGCAGGGACGAGCGAGCCGATCAAGCTGGTCCTGGACAAGGCCGTTGGCAACCTCCACGACACGTTCTACTCTCCGGGGAGCCTGGAGTTTAGGGTTTAGGGTTTAGGGTTTAGGGTTTAGGAGGCCGCTGGAGTAACAGAGCAGGCCGCTGGAGTAACAGACAGGCCGCTGGAGTAACAGACAGGCCGCTGGAGTAACAGACAGGCCGCTGGAGTAACAGACAGGCCGCTGGAGTAACAGACAGGCCGCTGGAGTAACAGACAGGCCGCTGGAGTAACAGACAGGCCGCTGGAGTAACAGACAGGCCGCTGGAGTAACAGACAGGCCGCTGGAGTAACAGACAGGCCGCTGGAGTAACAGACAGGCCGCTGGAGTAACAGACAGGCCGCTGGAGTAACAGACAGGCCGCTGGAGTAACAGACAGGCCGCTGGAGTAACAGACAGGCCGCTGGAGTAACAGACAGGCCGCTGGAGTAACAGACAGGCCGCTGGAGTAACAGACAGGCCGCTGGAGTAACAGACAGGCCGCTGGAGTAACAGACAGGCCGCTGGAGTAACAGACAGGCCGCTGGAGTAACAGACAGGCCGCTGGAGTAACAGACAGGCCGCTGGAGTAACAGACAGGCCGCTGGAGTAACAGACAGGCCGCTGGAGTAACAGACAGGCCGCTGGAGTAACAGACAGGCCGCTGGAGTAACAGACAGGCCGCTGGAGTAACAGACAGGCCGCTGGAGTAACAGACAGGCCGCTGGAGTAACAGACAGGCCGCTGGAGTAACAGACAGGCCGCTGGAGTAACAGACAGGCCGCTGGAGTAACAGACAGGCCGCTGGAGTAACAGACAGGCCGCTGGAGTAACAGACAGGCCGCTGGAGTAACAGACAGGCCGCTGGAGTAACAGACAGGCCGCTGGAGTAACAGACAGGCCGCTGGAGTAACAGACAGGCCGCTGGAGTAACAGACATGCTCTCCTCCCCTGCAGTTTGAGGGGATCCCTGCGAGCTAGGGTGCTGAACAGGACATTTTTCTGTGCAGAAACGGTTGTTTGATCATGTGGTATCTATCCAAAGAGGAAAGGAAACAGATTGCTCGTGTCCGAGTTTCCCAGTTCCTAAACAAGGACACGACACCTTCAGCACCTTCGCTAGGAGAGCTGATCCGAAGATTGGAACACTTCGTCAGGCAGTACCCTCAGAGCAGGACAGGCAGAGCCTTGCAGTCCAAGGAAGTCTCGATGAACGCCTTAGCCGAAGCCATTCGACAGACCTGCAAACATGCTGAAGTCAGGAGCCAGGAGGATGCCATCAAAGAATGGGGGGAAGAAGGACAGTCGTGGTATGTCTCTGCATGGAACGCAGACAAACAGGAGGTACTAGACAAGAGTGCCTGCATCGATGCTTCAGGAGCGTCCCCCGAGAGTGGTAAACTGATTACCATGGCTATCCTCGGAGTTCCTACCCAGTACATAAAACAAGTTGAGGTACTGTGTGAGAAGTTGAAGGATCAAGGACTCTTGGTGCACGAGGAGCAGGGCAAGAAATGCATCTCGTGGAGAGCCCCGATCAAGAAAGATTTGATTCCGACAGTGGATGAAATCCCAGTCGTGGCAACACTCCAATTGAACGACGCAGCAGAACTGCTGTGGAAAGGACAGACGAACTTCAGGATCGACGGAAAGATGATCCGCGCGGTGAACGCGCATTCGAAGCATCCTTGCTCCTTCAAGATAAGGCCACAGAAGGATAAGCACTCTGGCAAGGCGGGGGCCCTAGCTGAGTTCTCTCACCTCCTCAAGATGAATGGCATGAACTCAGCTGGGATTACGGAGATCTATCGTCAACACCTGCTGCAACAAGGAATAGCTGTGTTGGAGGTGCAGCCGGAAGCGGGCATGCAGCTAGAGGTCAAGACGAAGAGGAGACCTCAAGGTCAGCCCAACAAACGCACTTTCGCAGCAGCCGGAGTGGACGAGATACGACAAGGAAGAGAGATCGATTGGATTGCGAGATGCTCTTCGACGGACGTCCTGAGCACCACGCTACGGATGTTTGAGGGAGACGACAGGAATGGAGGAGGCATACACCTCGGACTGATGTCGGAAGATGAAAAGATCCTCAAATGGTTCACTACTCAGGTTAGTGCAATCACCAGGGTAACGAGACAGCATCCAATTAGGTTGGACTTCTTGCCCGACGCGCTAGGAGCAGTACCACGAAGAGTGACCTATGAGGTGCTGGTCAAGAGTAAAGCACAGAAGGGAAGGTTCACCAGAGAGGAAGCTGAACAGATCTGCGACGGGGAGGATCTCTCTATGGGCATGACAATTCGAGGACTGAGACGGATCGTGGCGAGCTGGAAGGAGTCAGCGGCTGAGCACATCGTCAAGATCTCCTCGAAGGAAGATGTCGAGACCAACAGCTGGAACGGTGAACATCTAGTGCTCAGCTTCTCAGAAAAAGAAACGGCGATCGACATACTCAGGTCCTTTGCGCCATGGGACAGGGCGGGGAAACTTCTTCTCCTAGAGCCAGGCAGTGCCAACCTTTGGGAAGCGATCGCTACAGAATCCCCCACGGAGCCTCTGTGGGCACAGGTAGATCTCGAACGGATCGAGAATGAGATCAACATCCCAGAACCAGAGGCAAACGTGGTCCTCGAAGACATCTACAAAGTTCTGGAGGAGACTGTCAACCAGGGACAGAGTGCAGAAAACCAAGCTTGCAAACTCAGGCTCGATGGAGCCATCGTCGGCCTGTACGACAGCTTGTCATCTCCTGGAAATGCATGTTTTCCGACGCTGAAGGAATGGGCGGAATCATCCTCGGCAACCCAGGACGACGACATGCAAGTTTTGAAGAGTAAGATTGCAAGAGTAAGCGAGCAGCATGCGTGGGAGACGGTAGCATCAAGAAGACGCCAGGGAGCCTTTGCAAAAGCAACAGGGAGAGGAGGGGAGAAACAACAAAAAGAATTTCGAACTGACTTGTTGTTTCTTGCCCTGAATAAATTAGTTCTCACAGCCACGCTAACCTACCAAGGCAGCGTAGGCTCGGGAGACGAAATTGAGTTTCTCTTGAGCAAGGCAGAGGAGGAGATGGGACTGGAGATGGAAGAGGAGAGTGGCAACCAAGAGGGAGAGGTTGCCTCTCAGCTCTAAAACCGAATCATGACAGGAGGAGGAAGGGAGGAGGAAGGGGGGAGTGCCGGGAGTAGGCAAGGGGGGGAGAGGGAAACGGTTTCAAAGGAAACGCAACATGTAGATAGAACATTGTATTTTTTTGATTGGATCGAGGAGATCCCATGGTCAGACAAACGAGGCGACAAGGAATTTGGCATCACTGCCCTGAACAATCGAGGAGTAAGCGGATTTTTATGCGAGAACATGATCGAAGTTACTCTCAATGAGATGAGCAAGGCTCTTCAAGGAGGAAGAGCAATACATATGGTACGCAAAGGGAGAGCTCGTGAGGACCAGCAAACGCGGAACATCATCTTCTTGCCAAGGGTAATATCCAGTCTGCGAGACGAGGCGTCCCGCTTGAGAGTCGGGAACAGATTTCACCTCAGCAGCTTGAGAGATGAGCAACACACCTTCCTGTTCCCAACTATCATCCACAGCAACCACTGGATTCTAATTGCATTAAGATATGATCGGCGATGCGCGTACATCTTGGACCCCCTCTGCGAGGACAGAACGAGCACAACGAGGGACCCACGAGGGATCGAGGGAGCGAGGAATCTTGTAACAACGGGGGAGCACGCAAAAGGAGCAAGAGAAATGGCTGAGCTGACAATCGGAGTGATCGAACACATCTTTGACGATCAGACCAATGCCCCATGGCAGATACAGTGGTGCTCAGCCTTCCAACAGGAAGATAACTTCAACTGCGGAGTGTTTGCTATCCTTCACACCCTACTGCTCTGCGAGACAAATCAAGACTGGCTAGCAACGATGGAAACGAGGACAAGACTAAGACTTCCGCAAGAATGGCTGATGCAAACCAGAACACAACTGATTGCAGCTCTCACCCATCTGGAGAAGATGGAGGAAACGGCCCAGGTAATTCTGCGATCTCTGCCGAAGGAGGCGAGGGTGCAAGAGAGCTTGAAATCGACGACAAAGCCGGAGGAGGAGGTACAGCCGAACGCAATCCAGCGGCTGATGACCTCGACGACAAAGCTTGAGGAGGAGGTACAGCCAAACGCAATCCAGCGGCTGATGACCTCGACGACAAAGCTTGAGGAGGAGGTACAGCCAAACGCAATCCAGCGGCCGATGACCTCGACGGCAAAGCCTGAGGAGAAGGTACAGCCGATCGCAATCCAGCGGCAGGCGACCACCACGAAGCCCCAACCAAGACTTTTTGGTGAGGAAATGGAGGAGAATGCACACTCAGGAGAGAAAACCTCCCAGAGAGGGAAGGAGCGGAGGGGGAAAAGGCAGGAGGAGCAAAGGGGCAATGATTGGGCGCAGATGCATCGAAAAAGCTCAGACCCAGGTTTCCTCATCTCACAAAATGTGAATGGTTGCAATCACTTTGTTCTCAAGCACATCCTCGCATACTTAATCCAGTCCTTCCAACCTGGGGTTGTGCTACTACAAGAGGTAAGGGTCTCGGCCCGCGACGAGAACAAATTAAGGAAGATGATCAAGGAGAACTGGGCCTGCTACAGAATCTTCCTGGGGCCTGCGAAGATCAATGCCAAGAAGGGGAAAGGAGACCTGAGGTTGGTAACGCTGGTCCACGCTTCCCTCTCGCCTTCCCCTTCCCATGCCGCTCAGGCGTGCAACAAAGAAAAGAAATATCGAAACCGAGTGTTTTCGATCAAAGTCGGAACAGGGAAAAATTCTTTCGTAGTCACGAACCTCCATCAGGTACCGGCGGAAAATGCGATTCGAGAGCAAGGGGAACTGTGGGCAGAGCTGCTACACCTCGCTCTGGGAACGAGAGAGACACACATCATAGCCGGAGACTTTAATGCAGCAAGAACCAACACAACAACACCAATGCGGAGAGGATATTCCCCCTCATCTATCACCGCAAAAGCAGATGAGAGATTCGAGAAATTCCTGGCAGACCTTTCCGCACACCGTACACT